CTCTGGCCAAGGCTGGTCTCTCTGAAGAATATGCATATTCCCAGTATGAGTCATGGAATGCAGGAGACCAAGCAAAGCTGAAAACAAGGTGATCATACTTAACCAATGTAATTGTATCATATAGGAATTTGAATGATTAGCTTGATTGCTTTGAATATAAAACTGCTTGCTATATTGCCCTGAGATGTGTATTTTTTTTTTTTGAGTTGGAGTCTCACACTGTTGGCCAGGCTGGAATGCAGTGGCACGCTCATGGCCACCGCAACCTCGACCTATTGGTTGAGGTGATCCTTCCGCCTCAGTCTTCCAAGTAGCTGGAACTATAGGCACACACCACCATGCCCAGCTAATTTTTTTTATTTATTGTAGATATGAGGTCTCCCCAAGTTTTCCAGGCTGGTCTCGAACCCATGAGCTCAGGCAATTCTCTGACCTTGGCCTCCCAAAATGCTGGGATTATAGGCATGAGCCACTGCACCCAGCCAGGTATGGATTCTTAACTGACCTGCCACCATCTGTGCTTCCTATAAGTTTTAATAAACCAGTATCTTTCCTTGCTGAACCTCCAGGTGACTTCCTTGGAATAGGTAAACATAACACATAAGCCCTCTCAGATTTGGCGTTACCATGTTACATTGTGTTTGTACATTTTGAAAATATCAGCTTATCTGGAAAAGAGTGTTTAGCACTAAAAGCCATTACCAGGGTTGACACCCTGTGACTTGGGGCAAATTATAGAGAAGGAGTGATACAGAGACCCACTAATGTCCGTCCATATTGTCACAGCCCCTAGAGAAGGGCATGGCAAGGGTTCAAGTGCTCCTCCACATTCCTGAGCACATTTCTGAGAGTTCCCTTGTCTTCTATGCACTCCCAGTAAATAGCTACAGGGGATCCTTGACTTCCCAGGCAGACTATGCCCAAAGATGTAAATCTTTATTTACTCCCTTTCTTTTCTTTTTTTTTTAAGTGAGAAAGCAGGACTTGTTGAGAGGACAGAAAAGCTTCCACAGTGGGAGGGGACCCAAGGGGGTTACCCTACTCCTTTTCTTAATAGTCATAGGTTTGAACAATATAGTATCAATGTAATCATATGTCTTGTGATTTGTATAATTTTTGCATCAGTGTAATGGTAAGTCTTGTGGTTTGCATAACTTTTGCAATGCATGATGTCTTAGGCCTTGTAAACTTCCGTTACTCTAAATGTCACTATCTAATGTAAAATGCAGCTATAACTTAAGTTCTATACAATGTTCTGCTGATCACATGGCTAATGTATAGTTACCAACGACTCTGGACTATAAGAGTGGACTGCAAGGCCTGAAAGGTGGGCAAAACCATTTTAGGAAGACCTCAAGTCCAGCTTTGCTCCCTGGATTCAAACTCAGAAATAAACTTCTTTCTACCAGTTCCCTGCTCCTTTGATTTATCAGTATCAAGGAAGGGTATCCAAGTGTTACTCGGACTATAACAGGAGGGCCTCTCCCCAGGGCAGAGATATGGCAGAGGCAGCCAGGGTTGGGTTCACTGTGAAACCTGATGAAGCTCAGTGAAGGAGGGTCTCACTCGTCTGGGACTCTTCCTGTATGAAATTCTGTATTATCAATGTATTTACTTTGCTGCATAGAGGGCTCCCAATCTACATTAACTCCAGGACCCGCACACCTGAATCCACTGCTGGTGGCCAGGTAAATCTAATGAGAATCACAAAGGACAGACTGGGCACTGTCTTCTTGAAGGTTCTGGTCTCTGCTGGAAAATGTGGCATTGCTTTAAGGTTTTGGAGCTATTCCTGTACAAATGCCAACACAGCAAGAGGTTCTTGTTAGATTTTTCTGATTTTATTTATTGATGATTGATATCATCAATAAAGTAAAAATGACTTCTTTGGCGTCAAGTGCAGCATCCCTCAGACCATCCTAAAAGAGAGAATAAAGCAGGACTGGGGCCTGAAATAACAACCGCTCCCTAAGTAGCATTGAAGTAGCCCGAAAAAGAAAAGCAAGAAAAGGCAGGCAGTGCCTCTGAGAGCCCAGTGCTCTATTTTAAAAATTTTAGATTCCAGGGGTACATGTGTATGTTTGCTACCTAATTATATTGCATGGTGGTGAGACTTGGGCTTCTATTGAGCTCAGCAACCAGGTGATGGACATGGTACCCTATGGGTGAGTTTTCAACCCTGACCCCCCTCTCCCCCCTTTTAGGAATCCCAGTGTCTGTTGTTCCCCTCCTTATGCCTGAGTGTATTCGGTGTTTTGCTTCCTTGTATAAGTGAGGACATTGCAGAATTTAGTTTGCTGTTTCTGTAATAATTTGCCAGGATGATGGACTCCAGCAGCATCCATGTTGCTGCAATGGATAGGATTTTGTTCTTTTTTTATTATTGTGTGGCATCCCAAGGTAGCCAAGTGCTCTTTGCCTATAACCCACCAAGGCCACCTGTGTCCTTAAGAAGAGCAGAGTACTAAGCTGAGCAGCTAACTCCTTAGAAATTGGGCCCACGTGGGGACTCCAGATTGCTGGCATATCATTAGCTCTTGCCTAGGTGAGCCACACCACTGTGGGTCTGGGTGATGGGGAATGAGGGATGGTGCTGGTGAGCGTCAGAATAGTAAACAAACAGAACTCCAAAGGAGATTTCTTGAAACACAAGGACTTCTTTTGCATTGATTTATTAAGTGTGTTAATAAACTCCTGGCTTTGGTACGTTCTGGGAAACTCCTAGCACTGTCTTTTAGCAGCCTAGCTGCCAGCATTAAGAAGAGAGTCGGCCGGGCCTGGTGGCTCAAGCCTGTAATCCCAGCACCATGGGAGGCTGAGGCGAGAAGACTGCCTGAGCTTGGGGGTTCGAGACCAGATGGGGCAAATTGGTGAGACCTCATCTCTACAATAAATAAAAAAATAAGCTGGACATGTTAGCACGTGCCTGTAGTTCCAGCTACTTGGACGGCTGGAGCGGAAGGATCGCGTGAGCCCAGCAGGTCAAGGCTGGGGTGGCCATGAGCATGCCACTGCACTCCAGCCTGGGCAACAGAGTGAGACACCGACTCAAAAAAAAGAAGAAGGCATTATGGAAAATGTGGTATACATACACGATGGAGTACTATGTGGCCAATAAGAAAAACAAAATCATGGACTTCACAGCAAATTGAATGGAGTTGGAGACCATCATACTAAGTGATCTATCACAGCAACAAAGAACTGAATACCACGTTTTTACTCATAAGTGGGCCCTGAACAATAATCACATGAGCACAAGGGAGGGATCAGCAGTGTCCAGGTACTGCTAGGGGGAGAGGGAGAAGGGTGGGGGACACGTGACAACACAAAGGGCACTAGTCCACTACCAGGGAGAGTGAGGGCCAGTTGAAAGTCCCAAACGTCACCTGAGTGCTTGAATAAGACCCTTCTCTTCTTCTTTTTTTTTTTCAGGTCATATATTCAGTTTTTATTATTTGGAAAACATGATCACTGTGTTGGTGGTAGCCAGGGCTTAAAAAGGCAGAGAGAATGGATTGGAAGCCCAAACAGCTACTTATTTCTGTCTCAATTTTTGCAAAAAGAAGCTAGGAATATATGGATATGGAGTTTCTGCAGCCAATAAGCATAGCCTGCCTAGTCTCTGAGGGCCTGCCCATTTAAGATTTAAAAAGAACTCATACTCCCTCCAATGCTTACAGCATAGTCTCCTCATACAATCTTTACAATTCTGAAGTCGACATTATAGTACTTGCTTTGCACATGAAGATACAAAATCTCAGAAAAATCTGCAAAGACTATTCTCAACAATTTCCAGCGTGATAGTGGAGCACATAAGACCTTTCTTAATGCTGGCAGCTAGGCTACAAAAAGGCAGAGCTAAGAGTTTCCCAGAACATTCCAAAGCCAGGAGTTGATCAACACACTTAATAAACCAATTAACTACTTATGAAGTTAATCCTCACTTGTACCCCACATCTCTATAATAGTAAAATTAAATTTAAAAAGAAGAGAGTCTTATTCAGAAAAAATAGGATAAAAGTTTTCATCATTGGTATTATTACAATGACATGTTTTATGTACCCAAGAAGAAAATATATCCAGATATTAACAGCAGTTGTACCAGAAGGTGAGTTTTTAGTTTCCTAGATGTTATGCAATATACATGTATAACTTTTTTAGTTTAGTTGAGGTCACCCTGTCACCCAGGCTAGAGTGCAGTGGCAGGATCATAGCTCACCGCAGTCTCAACTTCCTGTTATCCTTCTGCTTCAGCCTCCTGAATGGCTGGAACTACAGACGCATGCCACCATACTTGGCTAATTTTTTATTTTTTTGTTGAGACTAGGTCTCACTATGTTGCCTATGCTGGTCTCAAACGCCTCAGCTCAAGCAATCCTCCCACCTTGTCCTCCCAAAGTGTTGGGATTATAGGTATGAACCACTCTGCCCGGCCCATGTCTAACTTTTTAATACAAAAAGACATCACAAATGGAGCGGGGAGCACATTTTAGTAGTGTTTTTGTACCCAGTGCTTGGTCTACTTGAAAGCATCCAATATACACTGTTGAAAATGAACAACCCACAGGCAGAGGGAGGACGCTGGTCTTCTCTTGCACTTAGTGAAGTCCACGAAAGCTGCAAGGCCAGCTTGGTGGAAGACAGCTGCAACTCTCTTCACACTATTTCCACTAAACTTTTTCTTTATATCATTATTCTCCTGGCCATGAAAATGGGTTAAAAAGGTGAAGACAAAGAAAAACCATGATGCTACTTTAAGGGGCAATAAAAAAATTTATCGTTTCCTAAAATCCCTGGGGTATTTTGAACCACCTTGTTCCTTATGAGATGCTGATGTTTAATTCATCAACTTTTTATTTATTTGTTTTACTAGTGACCCTTCAAAAGCGTCAATGTTTGTTGTCTTTAATTAACATCTAAATAGATCATATATCTTCTATAATTATCATTATAATATAGAAATGTCTATGAACCAAATAGATAAATCTTTTGGCAAATGCCTAGGGAAGAATGGTATCAGTCAAGTTCATCCTAGGTTTTCAGCTGCAGCGTCTATGTAACCGGGGCATGGTCAGTGTTTGGGGACAGAGGTAAATATCTGTAATCCATGCATTCCTTTGATTTCTTCTTCTTCTTCTTTTTTTTTTTTTTTTTTG